AGGAAATAAATATGACGACTCTCTCTCTGGGAGTAATTTTTTTAAATAGATGAGCACAGCATTCAGTCAATAAGAAGTCGTTTTTGTGATGTCGTCTCATGTACAATTAGTGCACTCTATAAGAACACGTGTTAAATGTAGCAAGACGGACGCTTTGTTTGTGTCACTTTCTTGTTCCATATTCAATCACCCACACAAATGAGGCAATAAATTTGGAGTTAACCTATAAGGTACAATATCTTAATTTAACATATTTTAATAAATTACACGTCTTATTTCAACATTATTAGTTCCACTTATATTTCAGTGTAAAAATTATTTGTATGTATATAAGGTAAACCCATAGAATTTTGGAATAGTTTTAACTTTATGTTCCTAAAAATTGTTGGTTATCTAGTGAGTATAAAAGTGTTAATAGAAATGTACTTGTCATTCATTGGTTGCGTAAGAATTTAGAAAGACGTTTATAATGCCCTAAAGACGTTAATAGAAAAGTGTTAATAAAAATTCTATGGTAAACCCATAGAGTTTTGCTTTGCATCTTTCTTCTAGATTTCACGGTATTCTTATTTTTCTTATGATTGTTGTGGTGATACTAATATTATCTCGTTTGCTTTGCATCTTTCTTCTGGATTTCATAGTGTTCCTATTTTTCCTATGATTGATGTTGTGATACTAATATTGTCTCCTTTTTGTCCTTTTATCTTTTTATTTTTTTGAGCCGAGAGTCTTTCGGAAACAATCTCTCTACTCCTTCGGGTCAGGGGTAAAGTCTGCGTACACACTACCCTCTCCAGACCCCATTAGTGAGATTTTACTGGATTGTTTATTGTTGTTGTTTATAATATCCTAAGGCTACTTTATCCATATTACCTTAAGGTTTTGCGTTGGATACTCAAATTCTTTCGCATGATATTAATACCCAAATTTTAATGAGCCTGTTTGCATAATCAATTTCTCTCCTCATGTTTTATCGCTTTGGGCTTCGCCTCAACTAAGTATCAAGGCGCTCCCGACTCTTCACTTGAGCGTGATCTCGCTTTATTAATGTTCTCAAACGGAGCAAGAATTGAATTATGCAGGATCACTTTACCCTTGCATTGAAGTTTTGAATTGAATATTCAGATTCTTTCGCAAAAGTATTTCATGACAAAAATAGAAAATTTAATAAATTAATCACGTGAAGAAAATTAAGCCAATCCAGTTCTTACTTCGTCTTTGTTAATTGCTTTAGTTTTTATCAAAAAAATAAAGTAAAAATTTTAAGAAACATGACAGACTTAATATGCATGAATTCGTTTAGTAATAGGTAGATATCTGATGTAGGTTATTTGTGTTATCAAACTCGCATGGTGGAGAATTTCTTTGTCCTCATTCTTAATGACCACATTTGAGATCTTCCTTTCTTAATACATTGACTAATGTTTTTCACATTAGAACAGAAAGTGGTAGCTCCTCCTTTTTTTCCCCTCAGTTGTAAATTAATCTATCCAAGCTTTGTTTAAACGTGATAAGCGAACTAAATAAAACTTGATCGTAAAAGAGGCAGAATCTTTTATATTGATCCGATGTGTACATACTGTTATCTTGTTAATTCAAGTTATCCCTGAATGTATTATGAGAAGTATGTCCATATTTTATCTGATTAACTACATAGTATCATTAACAAGCACTTCTAAGTTCTCGAACGTTTGGTCCAAACAAGCTTATACAACTAGTTATTCACAAGGTGAGCAAGTCAAGTAGAAGTAAGAAAATCACATACATGAGTATTTGGAGAAAACAAAGAAAAACTTAGATAATTATGCATTTTGAAAGAGTCTATCTAGTAATAAGACACTAATAAAAAAATAAAAAAGGAGCTAGCAGCGACGGAAAACTTACTTGTATATGATATTTGCACCAAACAAATGAATATAATATATATCTATATATCACGAATAAATTTCTATTATTTAACTATGATAATTCATGATATATATTCTTACTTTAATTTATAACTTTTGTCGTTGAATTATAAAGTTTGGTATATCCATCCAAATAAATATTTAATTTTAATAGTAATACTCTCTTGATATATAACAAGAAAATGATCATTAATTCGTCATAGTAACGCCGCCTTAATTACTGTATAATCATTTTTCATCCGCATGCTTAAACCTCACTAAACTTGCGGAGACTGATTCAGATTTCATAACCTTTTTGCAACTGCAAGAGGGCGGTTCAGCCAATGTCTATCTCTTCAGTAAAACAACATTTAGGTTTCCATCAATCTTTCCTCCTTTTCTTCTTCCACTACATTTAAGTCCACCTTATTCCAATTTCCAAGCAGGGACGAGCTAGCACTTTATTTACGAGTTCGGTCGAATCTAGTAATTTAATCCAAATTTTATATTTATTTTAAGAAATTTATTTAATATGTATAAAATATTAATTTAAAACTTAATAACTTAAAATGACTAAAATTCTAAATCATAAATTTTAAATCTTGATTCCACCTCTTAATTTCCCAAAGAAGAAAAAGTAAGATATAAGTCTTTATATAATACTCCTTTGAGGCTTTACATGTGGAGATGATATCATGTGAGTGACATAGATCTTCTATTTATTTCGATGTATCTTTCTTTTGAAATAGAACTACCTTTTAGCATTAGTTGAAACTGATGTAACCACATTTATCCACATAAACAACTACCATCGATCGAGTTTTGGATCCTCAAGGAAAATGATGGAGGCGCTCTAGTGCACCCACTGAAAAAGTGAACTTTTTGATGATATATAAAAGTAATTATAAAATAATGTCCCAAATCTTTTTTCTATAGGTAAATGATGGTTTTTTTTAATTCCTTTTTCGGATGAAGACTACAAGAAGTTGACACATAAAATACTCTCCACTTTAAACAGTAGCTAGCATCAGAGAGGTCAACTCTTTTACATCCTTCTTACCCCTTGGACATGTACCAAAAGAGGATGTAAATAATTAATGGACAGGCCCCGTGATAAGAATGATCATTCAATTGAGCACTAACCTTAAATAGATAAGATTACTTTAATTCTTGTCTTTGATCACGAGTTGGTGACTTTGTATTTTTGTGGCTGCTCGATAAGAATCGAGATTAATGAACATCCATTGTATGTTGATGGCTGCTAAGTGAAGCATATATGCGTGCGTAAATATAATGATAATGATGCTTAGGATAATTTACATATGTTTTATCCTAATTAAAACTCACTTCTTGGACTCCAGCATTAAGCCACACTACTAATGAAACTTTGATTCACGAAAATCATCATTTTTGTCGTTTTGCAAGTCCAGAGGCAAGTCTACAGTACCATCTGGCCTTATTTCAGATTTATGGAGTTCAGTATTGAGTTCAAGATTTAAATTTGAAGAGTTTACTATTTATGTTCTCATCACTTAATTCATCACTTGTGCAATTATGGGTTAAAGATTAGGTACTATTGTATATTAAAATTATACTATATTTTTTTTTTTATATATAATTATGTTCCGTCTAAAATACTAGGTTGAGTTTAACCTATCGAGACTATACCGCATCCGCCTGGAATGGTGCTGATTCTGAAGTGGTCGAACATATATAGCTGGTTTCTTTTATTATTCAATCCATCCACCCATGCTTTCATCTCCTATGGTAGCGGAGGGTTTGGCATAAACTTCTACCTTATTTGTTTATTAAGATTAGTACTATAAGTAATGAGGGGACATAAAACCTTACCTCCCGCAAATCTAGTCTATCCAACTATAGAAAAAACCAAAGCATGGGGAAAACATGCTACCTTCTGATTACTTGAAAGGATTTCTCCTTTCTTACATTTGCTGCAAACCATATTCCAATCTCAATGATTCTCCATTCTGTTGAACTTTTTACCACCAACGGATCGGATATCTTTGTCTGGAAAAAATATCTGTGACAAATTCTAGCAGGCGAAGTATCTTCAAGCACACCTAGCTTTCCATAATTCCAGCATACAATGCTAGGACTAGGAGTGATTTGTAAAAGCAATCTGTGTACAGCATTAAGATCCTGTTTGTTCCAAGTGATAAGCATCAAAGCATGTGTCTCATAGTGTGAGTGTGAGCACTGGATATATATTATCCCTAAAGGACCTGCAATGGTTCTCAAGATTCAGCTCACAATTGGCAAAAACAAGGTCAAAAGTTTCGTCCCTTGCAATCCTGCAGCAGGAGCAATTGGGGTTCATTTGGAGCCCAAACCTGTGAAGTGCTTCATCCAGGGGAAATTCTAAATTACATCATGACTTGCTCTATAGTGCTGACATTTTAATTCAATTTTTTTGGATTAACTTCACACCTACTTTTGCACGTGGACGAGACCACTCCCTCTTACTAGATTTTGGCTCAGTAAAGGGTAATTCAATTTATAAATAGAAAAGAAGAGCTCTTCCTAATCCATATGAGACTTTTGCCTTTCACGTGAAACAAAGAAATAAGAGAAAAAGGGACTTACAACGAATCTGTGACTTTGCATTATAACTTCCAACAAATACTACTTCTCACATAACTGAACACAGTCAAAAATAAAAAATCAACATATTCACTCAAATATTAATACCTTATATTCACAATTTAGGTGACGTAAATAAGTGTGTATGAAGTCGGAATATACCAAAATTGATCCGTCACGTACTTGCGGATCTATATGGAGGAGCATGGTGCGCGTGAACCCATGCTCCTTCCAACCATGTACAGTATTACTACAAATAATATGAATTTACCTCTGATTTTTATTTATTATATATATATATATATAGAGAACGTTCCAAAATGAAGATAGTATCATGTAAATCGGAATGGGACTAAGTCGTACAAGATATGAACATTTTATGCTTCGGCAAACAGTGGCGGACCCAGAATTTTGTGCAAGCGGGGTTCAATGTTAGAAATACATAACTTTAGTCGTAAAATAGTAATTGTCAAGTGGATTCAAATAAAATATTTATACAAAATTTACGCAACTTTAATCCTAATTTATACATATACACAATATTATTTTTTAACGAAGCGGGTCACTCCGCCACTGTCGACAAAGGACAATGTCCAAAAATACACAAAAGAATCCCACTTCTTTCTATAAAAAAAAAGTATGAAAAAACAAAGGTGAAAATTAATACACAATGGAAGAATTAAGTATCAAATTTCCCACTCCTATCTTCAACCATTACCAACTAGTACACATGACTTTTCCATTACAGCTCCACTTGTCCACCTTTTTAGCCTCTCTTCTATACATCAGTTTGTTGAAAACTAACTGCAAAATCTTGTCAAAGTTTGGGAATAAATAGCCGCTGTAATTCTTCGTACTAAATCCTACAAAGCAACCATGACCATGTTCAGAAAAAAGATCAAAAATTAAACAAAGCACATTAGACAAAATGATTATATAATGAGATACTGAGAACATACTGGATGTATTCTATATTGATTTTAGCATTAGGAGAACGAGAGATTTCAGAGAAAGCATCACTGGACAAGGCAATGGTGGAAGGGCATGGCCTTTTGCGGCAGTAATCCACCACCCTAACGTCAATCGTGCCGCCCTTGCACGGCCAACGGCCACTTCCACTCATGCATCTCAATCTGTAACGCCGCCCGCACGCCGCCCCATTATCCCACAACCCTTCACTTACTGCTACAAACAAATTCCCTGCCGGAAATTGATCTCCTCTATTTCCATTGCATCTTGTTGCTGCAAAGAAGAAAGGGCGTAAGCACGAGCTACAATTTTCACTAAGGAAAGTTAAAATGTAAAGAAGTAAATACACGGACAACTCAAGAGGATTCAACATATAAAATATGTATATATATATATAAAAAAAATATATCTAGCTATATGGTATAATTTTATGGCCCCACTAGTAAGGGCTCTCGAGTTCGAAACTTGATGCATTTTATCCAACGGACTTGGATATGAAGAATAATGAACATAATAGTTTCTGATTGATAATATTAACGAAAGAAGTTACTTTCGAGAACAGAGAAATCGTATGAATATATAAAAACTATTCCATGTATTTCCCCCGGAAGGTTTGAAAAGAGAGGGATTCATCCCACCAATTACTTTAGGGGTCGTTTGTCGCGGATTAAATTAGGGATGATAATCCTGCTATCATAATTCCTGGATTAATGATAATATAATCCCAAGTTTGATGAGATAAAGCGAGATAAGATGGGATATCCTATAATTATGAACTCCGATGCCCATTTATCCCGGTATTTATACCTCAATCAAATATGATATAAATTTAATCTGACACCTTATCTCACCTTATCCTGTGTAGGATAAAAACTTGCACCGGAGTTCATAATTATGTTAGAAGTTAAAAGGACTTACGTGTATAAGGAGGATTGTAAGATGTTGCAGTGCCTATATCCCCAAAAACTATACTAGTTTCAAGTAAAAATAAGCTCACGAGAGCTATTTTTATTCTCATGATATGGACACCCATGTTTGAGAATTTTCAAGACGTCAGCAAGAGATTTTCGTACGTTTGGTCTGCTAATGGTGCCAATTTATAGTAGTTGAGTTAAATGTTCACCTCTCCTTCCTTTCCCACTGAATAGCGCCATAACTACCACAACAAATTAAAAGGGTAAGAATATGATTAAAAAAAATATAATAGTATGAAAGAGAATTCATTCATGTGCACATTTTGACTTAGATTATATTATTTGGATAATCTTTATAATCTTCTATAATTATGTGTATGAAAAAAATCAGACATGTATAAATTATTAAATTCCACCTACTTCAATTATGACCCCTAAAATTAAGTTACTTAATATAATGTAAATACTGGGCGAAAAACCTATTTTGCTCTACTCAAATTTGGACCACATATTAATATTTAGTAGCAGTAGTCAGAACTCCACTAAATTTTTCATATTCAGTTTCATACTGGTTCACTGAGATTTGACTTGTATATGAATATGCCCGTAATATGGCTAAATTTTCATGATATTTGCCATGACATAATATTCATTATAATAAATTTGTGGATCATGACATTTGCCATGACATAATATTCATTATTAGGCCAAGGATTTCTTGCTATAAATAGAGGAGTTTCTCCTCATTTGCAAACACACCAATTCAAGAGCTTTTCACTCTTGTCTTTCTTTCTCCTCCTTTATTTCATTATAGAGTATTTTGTAAGAGAGTGAGTGTTGGGAAACACTTGTGTGGACCCTTTCTTTGGAGTGATCTTATAAGGTTATTCTCTTGGGGTATTTGGGATTAATTAGAGTATTTACTCTAATTTTGTACTCTCTTTTGTACTCTTGTTGGTATAGTAAAATTGCTCATCTCCCCTTGTGGACGTAGGTCACCTTGACCGAACCACGTTAAATTTGTGTCTTCTTTATATTCTTTAATTGCCGTTATTATCAATTTCTATTGTCTTTGTTATTGTCATTATACCGTTGTTTGGCTAAATTCCGTACTATCCGAATTTTCGATCCTAACAAATTGGTATCAGAGCCAGATCTAACCGGGTTATTTTAAATAGCCAAAATGACTCTAACAAAGTCTTATATTGAGAAATTTGACCGAAGTGCAAATTTCGGAATGTGGCAATTAAAGATGGAAGCTATCCTAATTCAGGATGATTTAGATTTGGCAGTGCAAGGAAAGGAGAAGATACCTAATAAAATGACGGACGAGGAGTTTGCCGTCATAGACAAAAAGGCAAAAGCAGGTATTATTTTAAATCTTTCAAATGAGGTTTTGCGTGAAGTTGCAGCAGAAAGCTCATCCAAAGGCATATGGAAAAAGCTTAAAACCCTATATATGAAAAGAACAGTAAAAAACAGGCTTTACCTAAAGCAAAAACTCTACACTTTTCGTATGGCTGAAGGTACCTCTATACTTACTCATCTTGATACTTTTGATTCTCTTCTTATGGATTTAAGTAACATAGATGCTGAAATCAAAGATGAGGATCAAGCTGTGTTATTGCTTGTTTCCTTACCCCAGTCGTTTAAACATATAAGAGATACTATGCTTTATGGAAAGGATAATATCTCTTATAAAGATATCAAATCTATTTTGAAATCAAAAGAACAAATAGATAGAGATATTACTGGGGAAACTAGTGGGAACTAAGAGGAAGGCTTATTCATAAGAGTTAGATCCAATAAGAAAGATTCAAATAGTGAGAGACCTAAATCAAGGTCAAAATCCAGATACAGAAATGTCATGTGCAAATATTGTCATAAGAAAGGTCACATTATTTCTGAATGCATTAAATTGAAAAACAAAGAAAAGCATACAGAAAAGAAAAATGAGCACAAAAATACTGACACTGCCGAAGCAAGTGTAGCTGCTGATGAGACTGAGGGAACTATTTTTTTAGCAACTAATAATAGTTTCAAATCTAACAATGAGTGGATTTTAGATTCGAGTTGTTCTTATCATATGTGTCCCCATCAGGATTTATTTACCATATATGAATCTATTGGAGGTGGAGTTGTCTTGATGGGCAACAATGCTGCCTGTAAAATTATTGAAAAAGGTACAGTCCGAATTAAAATGCACGATGGTGTGGTGAGAACTCTCACCGATGTTAGACATGTTCCTGACTTGAAGAAAAATCTCATCTCTTGGGGCACTCTAGAATCTCTTGGGTGTAAGTACACAGGTGAAGGTGGAGTTCTGCAAATTTCTCATGGTGCTCTTATGATCATGAAAGCACGCAGATCTGATACGTTATATACTCTTTTGGGATCTACTGTTACAGATGCTGCTGCAGTTTCAATATCAGATAAATCAGATTCTGACATCATCAAATTGTGGCATATGCGATTGGGACATATGAGTGAAAAAAGTCTTTCCATCCTCAGTAAAAGAGGTCTCTTATATGGCCAAAGTACTAGAAATATGGAGTTCTGTGAACATTGTGTGTTCGGGAAGCAAAAAAGAGTCAGCTTCAAATCTCCAGCGATTCATAGAACAAAAGGTACTTTGGATTACATTCATTCAGATCTTTGGGGTCCTTCACGTACCCCATCAAAAGGTGGTGCCAGGTATATATTAACTTTCATTGATGATTATTCAAGGAAAGTTTGGATTTATTTTCTGAAAAATAAAAGTGATATTTTCTTAAATTTCAAACAATGGAAAGTTTTGATTGAGAAGCAAACAAGAAAACAGGTTAAGCGGCTTAGAACAGATAATGGCTTGGAATTTTGTAATGAAGAATTCAATGAATTTTGCAAGAATGAAGGAATTTCTCGACATCGTACTGTGAGAATAACACCTCAGCAAAATGGTGTGGCAGAAAGGATGAATAGAACTCTTTTGGAAAGGGCTCGTTGCATGATTTCAAATGCTGGGTTGACAAACGCCTTTTGGGCAGAAG